GAGGATAAAACGCTGCTGATTCGCTGCAGTGGGCATAGTAGTGACCGGAGTGCTTTCTTTCGTGCCTGACACGTTCCTGTTATGGTCATGGTATGGTACGCTGTAGTGGGCAGAGAGCTTTAACGCTTCATTTGCGTTTTCCAACATCTCGAGATATACTTCACCGGTTAAATTAGAGTTCAAAAAAAGAGGCCAAAATACCTGCCCATACATTTACTTTTAATGGAAACTGTGTATGTTTTTCACGAAACTTGTGAGGATTTATGTCACTCAATACCTCACATTTTGAGTATTAACATTTCCATTAAGAAAGAAAGTACTTTCGCCACTAAAACAAATTGTCCTTAGATAGTCTAGCTGTCGGAGAATTTTAGTGGACATATTTTCACAGAATTTCAGCCTTCTGTCGGGGTCGTCATCTGAAAGTTGATGTACCATTTTTAGTTTGTATGGGTGAAATTTGTTTTTGGTCAATACCCTGTGTACTGTACTATGACTGACTCCAAAGGTAGACGCTATTTGGGCTGTGGAAGAAGTAGGGTTTACTACAATTTCTGCAACCATATCAATTTCTTTATCAATAACAATATTTGGTCAACCCGATCGTTTGGCATCATGAACACTACCTGTTTGTTGAAACTTATGAAAAAGCTCCCTCAAATAAGTCCTCGATATAGGGCGATCGGGGTATCTCTCATTACAAATGCGTTCCGCCTCATGAAAATTATTTCCACTTTCACCAATAGCTGTTACTTTGTCAGCTAGAACACGTACCATTTTGTTTATGTAGATACTTAAACGTCTCGTTTAACAATAATTAAACTAAAAATTCATTATCACCTGTAAAAACGTCAATTAAAAAATTTCAGATTTTTTGACAATTAACCATAGGCGAACTTTTGAATATTTATTAATTAAGAGCGAAACTCAAATTTTTGTGTTTATTTATTTTAACCACCAAAAACATCGTAAATCCAATAAAAATTGTATGATTCAATAGGTATTCTAAATACCGTTTAAACGAGGTGTCACTTGATATAATGTCCCATTTAATATTCTAGGTTTCAGTTGACTGGTGACGTCACCGAAGCCTATTACGTCACCTGTTACCACTAGTAGAGAAGCTTACAATAGTTCTTTTTCACCATCTAAATTTCATCAGTCTAAGTATCACCGTTCAAAAGAAAAGAGAGGACTTTTGAGAAGCACTGTATAGGTAGGTACTTTGACGTAAATTTAATTAGAGTACTGATAAGCTGGCCATTGCTAATATCGTCCTCAATCTGATTGAATTACGTGCGCCGAAGTCGATCTTTTTCAACTCTCTCATCCACACTCGTCTTGTTAACTTGTTTCGTCTATCTCCTATCGTTGATCCACTTTATACGGATTAGGAAAAAATTATACGAGCCATAGGCTATATAGGTATTGCATCTCTATATTTTGTGTACAACGACTACCACCTCTTCTGTGACCTGCGAGCGTGCGAGCTCGTAGAAGGTTCCAATTTAGTAATGCATGAACTATTGTGAGGTATTGTTCTCTTTAATTAAATAAATACGTTATTATCTGATGCTAGAATTAGGAAATATATGCAAGTGAAAAATAATAACTTGATTTTGCATTAAATCCTAATATTTTTGACCATTAAGTTTACCATCAATGAAAAAGGGCAAATTTAGTCCCATAAAATACCAGTGCAAACATTTAATTTTTGAGGATACTGTGTACATGTCGGAATATTTAAATGTTTATTTTTTAGAGCATAATGTCTTTGGATTGTTGATTTTGCAATGAAAAAGTTGACTTGTCGATAAATACAATTTATTTTAAAAAGTTTTTATTTTAACTAGAGACCCCGCCGATTCGGCAGAATTTCGTAAAACTCTACAAAAAAAGTAAGAAAATTAGGCTATACTTATTATAACAAGTAACGTGTATGTTTATATCGGTGTACCTACACCGTGTGGCTCGTATAATTTTTTCCTAACCTGTCATTGCAAACTATCTCAACATATCTTTCTCAATATTTAAAATAACATCTTCTTTCACTCCACAATGCTTTCTTAAAATTAACTCAATACACTTTAAATTTTTAAGTTTTAGTTCAATTATAGGTGCATTTAATAAAACTTTATATCATACTTAATAACTATATTATTTATTAATAAAATTAAATTGTATCATATTTGAAATAGAAAATGTCAATATCACATTCTCAACAGGCTTGGAAAGTAATTCAAAATGGAACCTTGGAGGGAAGGCTTCGGACGGAGGCAAGGGTGCAGATTTCCAGTCTTTCTTGCGGGGATGTGTGTTCAAGGGTAATATATTGTACGATACCCGTTGATATTTAATATTTCTAGAATTTTTTTTAATAAGTCGCTTCCGAGTACTCCCCTAAATATAAAGACACATAAACACCAACTAAGTATGAAAAAACACAAGAAAAACAGCCATCACGAAGTTTCAATCGTACTGTATGTGTGAGCTCGTAAGTAGCAGTTTGTGGAAGAGCCACAGCCAAGAGGCCAAAGAGCCGCATGCGGCTCGCGAGCCGCGGTTTGCCGACTCCTGACCTAGACGACAATGTGCTGTCATCAATCCCGTGAGAATGCGTACTCCATTTACGGATCTGAGTAGAGGCATTCATTGAAGGGTTGGGTATAAACACCTTTGAATGAATTAGCCCTGGAGTATCTCTCCAGTTCGTAAGTGTTATACACCCACCGTCCATTTTGAGATAATTTTTTTAGCCATGTTCTTTGCAATGTACAGGAATGATTCTAGTCCTATGAACTTAGATTCGGTTCCTCTTTTAACGAGTATGTCGGCTTTTTCATTGTCGTCCAAACCACTGGGTACCGGAACTCGGATTAAAGTAACTTGGTTCCGGGCACCAAGACACACGGGTACTCGAATATATGTGTACAGTTCTAAACCAGTTTTGAGTCAACTCGATTGGAGCTCAGGAAATTGAGGTCTGCCTGTCTAACCGAAAAGATCTTTATAGAATTTTCTCGCTTTCAATTCTATAGCGAGCATTTCTGCGTCTAAGATCGTAGCCAGACAACCAAGGTTTATTAATATGTCAACTCTTGGCTTCTGGCTGAAAACTTCCGCTTCTGCTCCTTTTTCAGTTTTGGAGCCGTCCGCGTATTTCACATGAGGGTTTTATTCCCCTGCTCCATACGTCTCTCTCTGATATGAGGCCGTTATATGATTTTTCTATGTGCTTTTGGGGAACTAGCGAGTCTGAGACCATGCCGAGGATATGGTGGTTATTAATCTCATTAATCAGTCCCGTTTTGTCCTATCGCACTTCTTCATTGCATTGACTGACAATCTTCAGGAGTCTATAATAGACCATCCTGGCCTTAATGTCCAGAAAAATGTGGAGAGTGGTTGGATCCAGCATGATCTGCATGGCTCTCGTCGGTGTGGTTGACATTTCCCCAAAGTTTATTGTTCCACCAGACAACGAAGCCGTATGTTAACATGAGTTTAGCCACGGTTTGGATAATCTCCAGATATGTCACTTCCTCCGCAAAAGGAATGGCTTTCCTGGCCAAGGAAACTTCTTGAAGCTTGTCGAGTTTTCTTCTCTTGAACCATATGTTGATCGTATTTAGGGCTTGTTGGAGATCACCTTTTTGAACATCCCCTTAATTATGATAAACAGATCACAAAAGTGTTTGAGCTTTTTGCAGAAGCGCAGGTAATATGCCATCTTCTCCTGGTGATTTGAAAGGAGATAATGAATTCACCGCCCATTTGACGGCGCTTGGATAGACAACAAATCATTCTGCACTGACTGTCAAAAGTATGGGCCCACCGGGAAACTAGGAGATAATCCGGGGCACCGGTCCTACAAACGACGGTAGGTGCCGATCCTAGCGCCGAAAGGCACCGGTCCCAGCACCGACAGCCACCAGTCCTACCGACGCCGACAGGCGCAGCCACAGTTTCTATTTTTTTTTATGATCATTTATACAGCTCCTATAGGCCGATTCATCCAGCTATCTAAAATAGACTTTTGTGGTGGCAATGACTTCCAAATCGGGCGTATATTTTTGTCTGCATGAAATTTTATTATGTTTGGAAAGAAACTGAAATCCGAAGGTGTTAAGTCTGGCGAGTAGGGTACATGGGACAGTAATTAATTCAAAACCCAGTTCATCAATTCTAGCCATTACTATAATAGACTTTTTACATTGCGCATTGCTCTGATGGAACAAAACTTGCCTTTTCAATATTCCAAGTAATGTATCCAATATTTTCTGTTGCAGCTGATCAAAAAGCAAGTCAGCATATTATTGTCCATTATTGTTTTGTCAAAAATAATGTCTTTTGTATCCCAAAATACCTACGCCATAACCTTTCCGGATGGAACTATTTTTACCTTCTTTTGGACTGATTCGCCTTGCTCTATCAAAATCACAATCCCACTATAGGGTCAGGCTGCAAATTATTTATTCACATCCTCGTGTATGAGTAAGGTGGATTTAACGCAAATAGAAAAGGAAATGTCTTAAATCTCACAATGTTATCTATATCAGCACCTCAGAAGTAAGGACACATTTTTGAGAGAAAAGAGTTCTCTCAACTTGTGGATTTACCATATCAAGTTTTATCTAGTGGAAAACAGATTTAACTCCCTAGTTGCATCATTTCGCCAAAAGATGATGGAATACTCGGCAAGTCGCAAACCAAGTATTGCAAATTTGGGATTAATAATCAGTCACATCAAAGTCAAAATTTTAGAACAAAGTAAAAAAATCTAACAAAAAATCGAGATAAATTGACCAAACAATTGACTTTTGCAAAGACCCCAATAATTTAGTAAATTTACCGTTTCTTTACATTTTTTGTTATAACAATAGGTTAACTTTAAAATGCCTCTCCTGACAAATGTTAATGTTAATGTCACAATGTTATATAAAAGACCTTTTCTTGTCCTGTCAAATTATTTGATTTACCCAATACCTAGTTATTAGTTACACAATTCCAAGTAAAAGATTACAAAGCAACAATGTGCACAGATAAATAAAAAGAGATGTCGTAATGTCACTGGCTATTTTTAAGGTAGGGTATTAGACCTATATGTCCACCTCTTAGATTAGGAGTTCCTTAACAAAATTAAGAGTTTCTTTTTATTTATGTTTATATATAATTGCTCTATATCAACATCTATTGTTCGTTCCTTATACAATAAATAAAGCTCTCAAAACTTTAGGTTTTGTCTTAAAGAACTCGAACAATCTCTCATTAAATTTTATTACTCAGCTTACGTTAGGTCAATATTGTGAATGTGGGTTGCCAGTTTGGTCTCCATTTTATGATTTACATATTTAGGTCATCAGAGTGTTCAACACAAATTTCTAAAATATTATGCATTTAGATTAGGTTTAGTACTTGGCAACTATGATTAAAATATTTTATTAAACTTAATGTATCTTGAAAGTCTACATTTCGAAGAGGGTGTAGTAGATTTATTATTTTTGCATAAAGTAATTTCAGGATCTAATAGTACAAGTAACATATTTTCTTCAAAATTATTTATTCTTCATGCCTTTCACAGAATAATAATTATGACTTATTTAGTCCTCTAACAAGAATACAAAGTAGTGAAAATTCATTAAATTTATACATTCTGATGGATACATCTTTCAATGGCTTTAGAAAAGCTCTTGTTATTTTGAATATGTTCATTAAATCCTAATTATTTTTATTTTTTAATACAAAAAAAATTAAATTAAATTAAATTACTTAATACTTCTTAGGTATTTGATTGATTTAAATGTTTTTAAAATAAAAGTTGAAAATTAACGTATCGATTGTTTAATTTAAAAATAATTTACTGTGACGAAAGTCTAATTTATTTTTAATTTATTTATTTATTTAAAAACACACTATTTACAATTTATTTCAGACGTACTATTTAATTTATATAATATTTGAACACTAACTAACAATTCTAATTTATTTATTACACTTTTACTTTTCAATACAACGTTCTATATAAAATTAAACTCGGCGCTGATACGTCAACTATTTATATTAATCCAACTCCGCTACTGGAAGATATGGGAGACTCTCGAACATTCCTTTTTATTACTAAGCGGCATTCTCCGCCATTCCAGTCGCTTCCAGTGCATTAGCGGCAGACATTCCGTCGTATTCGAGATGCGGGCCGGCTGTTTCCACACGTCAGCGTTACTTCGATCTCGAATCGGTTGCGTGCTTAGACAGAGTCGGACTTCATGACATTACCTATTTATATAAAACAATTTATTTATAATTTATTTACACTACAGTTCATCAAATTTCTAGAGGCTTTCGACGGCTAGACAGAGAAAGCACTACTGACAGGCATCCCGACGGATTTACGCAATGAAAGTACACTCTGCGCATCAAGTATTTCACTATTTCATTCAGACGTAAATGTCAGATGTAAATTTCGCTAAAACATTTCTTTTATTTTCGTTTGTGTTTTTTGCTTATTACAGTTTAATAGAACCTAAGTATGGAGTTTAATAGCAAATTAAGAGGCCGCGTGATTAACAGTCAATCTCGCGAAATAATAGCCAATGTTATAGAGTTTATGAGAAGAGAAGGAAACTTTAATTCACCTTCAATACCATTTAAAAATGTAAATGATCGTGTTGCTGCGGCCACAGAAGTATCTAAAAACACTGTCGTCCGCATTTCTGGAGAGAAAAAAAGAATCGATAACCGTGAGATATCGGAATTTTCATCACCAAGAAAAACCATTAAAAAACCAAAAACAGTTAATGATATAGATGAAGCTGCACAAGAATCAAATTTTATTTTTTTATTATTAGATAGCTATTTTTGTTTCTGAGTTGTGTTCATTTACAGGCTCAATTTTTTTCCGTTTCTCCTTTTTGATTTTATATGGGGTTTCAAGTTGTTTTTGACTTATTTCGACGTAAATCACAACAACACACTTTTTTAATAAAGCAAACAAGTGTTAAGAGGTATATGTACGTGTAAACTACAATTACAAAAAATTGATATGAAACCCATGAAAACCACCAACAAAAATGTAAAGCTAGCTTCCGTACTAGAACATGGTGTCATTCGTCGAGATAATTTATCGTTTTGTTTAATAGATCAAGAAATGTAAATATTCCCCTGTTATTTTTTATAAAATTATAAGAGAAATAAATTTTTTTCTAAATAGTATAGTTTATTATTTTGTAGAAAAACAAAATTTCGAAAATTTTAGTAATGTTTCAGAAACAACCGTTATTAATAATAGGTACCATTTTCCTTAATAAGGTAGAAATAAAATATAAACTATTTCCACGATTTACAAAGGCCTACAAAAAAATTATAGGTATTTTTCGCTATCCTATAAAATTTATATTTTCTGACTCAATTTCAAAAGGTTGAAGGAATTCCAAAACACCTTTTATGGCATAATAATTATTTTCAATTCTACATACTATCTTTAGCTGCTTTTAAAAACGTTCTAAGAAAGTCCAATCAGACCAATTTAATCCCTAAACTATTCCACACTTTTAAAATTTAATTACCTAAAAATATTAAAAACTATTTAAAATAACTTGTTTAGCAGACTGTACAATAGCTATCTTAGTCACACGTAGCGCGTTCACTGTCTGGTCGTCGAACACCTCTAGAAATTTGATGAACTGTAAGTACTAATTAATTTATTTAATACTTAAGCTCTATTTATATTTCTAATTTATATAAGACCTTTACTTATACTAATTTATATCACATTTACTTTATCGATGTTCTCACAGCTATGACTCAATTTCCACTGACTCTCCATAACTGCAAACGCATATTTATATATTTGGCGAAAAGTCCCGGAACATTCACCAAATTCGCCATTTTACTCGAATATCCTTCTATAAAGGGTACGTTTTCGAATGAATGATTTATGCCGGCCATCTGTGAGCATATGCGCCCCTTTAGTTAGGTAAAGGGGGGTTTATCTCCATGAAATATTCTTGGTTTAAGGGTCAACTGGGGTCGTAAAAAGGCCCAAATAAGGCAGAGGGACCCAAAGGATCAGAGAAAGACTAGATTGTCGGAAATGGTTCACATTACAGTGTTGTCTTTTAAATGATTTTTATATATTTTTTATTATTATGGGGATTCCCGTATGTTTAATAAATAAAAAAATATTTGTGAATTAAAAGCAGCTTATACCATTTTGCTTATATTTGGTACGTTGACAGAGTTTTATGTGACAAAAGAATTTTAACTAATATTAATCCATAGGCGTAGAACTTGATTTTTTCAATAAATGCACTTTATATATTTTTACACGCCAATGAAAAAACAAGGGGGATTGAATATGAAATTTGGATTGCTTAAGAACCCTCACTCTAATTTATTAAAATACAAATTTAGTCAAAACCATGAAAGTAATCGAATCCTAACAATAATATCTTTTTCTTTTAGTAAAAGAATTACGCAATCTTAAATGTCTCTGTAGACTGCTGCCTTATCGTTACAAAAATTAAAACTCGTAATATTGTCGAGACACATAACATTGTCAAGTATTCTAAAATGGCTCTTAAACTTAACTTTACCTACTATACCACCTCGTATTGTTTTACAGATGAACCTGACGACGGACTAGATCATTGCGAAGCCGCCATGACTACCAAGCATGGCGTCTTTGCTTATTTGTTCCAAGCCACGTGCGTTACTATGCTTTTGGTTTTTAATTTGATTTCTGATCTCTTTATGGTCGGATTTTCTCTGTTTCTGGGCGTGCAATGTGATCGGCTCTGTTATCAGTTGGAGAATCTTAAAGATAAAGAAAATATTGATATTAAGAAACTTGCTGAATATTATAAACGGATATTGAGGTAAGATAAAATCTTAGATAAAAGAGACCGAAGATGTAACATTGCACACTGCGTATGTTGTCTATTTTAACCCAAAGTAACTCACCAATTGAAAATCATTGTTTGCACGACGCCACCCGAATTGCTCCGATTTTTCCATTCAACGCTCACCTCCGCCTGAGTTCAATCACCATTGACAGCTGTTTATTGATTTATTTTTTGGTATTTTAGCAATTTAAAGTGTTCTAGTTATTCAATTTCAAGTTCAAAATGCCACGATGTATCTTGAAAAATTATATATACTTATAATACAAGTACCAATGTTATGAAAGATAAAAAATATATTCGTTTTCAGCGGTAAATATTTATTAACATTTTGACATAAAGCGCCATGATCCTTTGGGCTGAATATTTCAGATCCGCATTAAAGGGTTTCAATAAATATTAAGCATCAAATACATATTTCAGAAATCAGATTTCATATTACTTACATAAATTTACAAAAGGGTAAAATTTTGAACATTTAATTTAAATAAGAAGTAAATAGGCATTGTTGCTAACGAAATTTTGTATTTAAAAAGTAGTTTTATAAGAATGTTTACTAAAGGTAATTTTTGGCCCTTTTTGGTAGATAAATAAGAAGTAAAGAAGCATAGTTGCTAGCTAATTTTATTTTTATAAGGTATTTTTATAAGAATATTAGATTAGATGAAATACAGGATGACCTACTTCAAATTTCGAAGTTTATTTTATTTACGGTCAAATCGAAAGTGACATTTGAATCTTCGATCTTAAAACAAAGTAAAACGCACCATATAATCTAGTATAAGCAAAAAAATACTAAAGTTACGGGAGTTAGTCACATTGTTAATAAAACGTTACATTATAAACCCCTAAACAACTCAAACAAAATTTTCGTTTACTAAAAAATCCAAATTTTAGCAATATTTATTATACAATCGAATGCGGTTTCAAAGATAACGGGATCACAAAATCCGGATTTCTAAATTTTGGAGCTAAATGCTCGGATAAAAGCAAGCGACCGATAGGGGTTACAAAAATAATCGATTTATCGATTATTCTGATATTTTTTTATGAAAATCGATTTATCCGTTATTTTTAATAAATTATTTTTGTTTTTTTAAGATAATGTAATAATCGATTTTAAAGTAAATACAAAAAGAAAGTAGATTTATTCAAAATAATCGATTGATTGAATAAAATCGATTTATTGTTTAATCGTTTTTTTTAATTAATCGATTATTTTTGATTTTTTAAAGGTATTATATGAAAACAATCGATTGATCGAATATAATCGGTTATTTTATATAACCGATATTTCGGTAATTTTTTTAAAATTATCGATTTATCGGTTAATCAGCTTTTTAATAATAGATTATTTTTGATTTACCGATTATTTTCGATTTATCGATTATTTCCGATAATCGAATAATTTTTAAAGTAAATATGAAAAAAAAAGGCTTATTAGAAAATAATCGATAATTCGGTTAGTTTTCGGAAAATCGATTTCTTAATTAATTGTTTATTTTCGATTAGGAGATTAGTTTGGAATTATCAATTATTTTCGGTATTTCAAAGATAATCGAATTATCGATTTTAAAGGAAATACAATAAAAATAGATTATTGATAATAATCGTTTGATGGAAAATAATCCATTATTTAAAATATTCGATAATTCTGTTTTTTTTTTTTTTGAAAATCGATTTATCAGTTAATCGACTTTTTAATTAATCGATTATTTTTTATTCATCGAATATTTTCGATTTTATTCGAATTGGCTTCTTAATTAATTGGTTATTTTCAGTTACGCGATTATTTTGGAATAATCGATTATTTTCGGTATTTCGAAGATGATCGAATTATCGATTTTAAAGGAAATACAATAAAAATAGATTATTGATAATATTCGATTGATCGAAAATAATCGATTATTTAAAATATTCGATAATTCTGTTTTTTTTTTAATCGATTTATCAGTTAATCGACTTTTTAATTAATCGATTATTTTTGTTTAATCGATTATTTTCGATTTTTTAAAGATTATCGAATAATCTGTTTCAATGGACGGAAAAAATGGATTATTTGAAAATAATCGATTATTTACAATAAACAATAATTCTTTTATTATTTATTGTAAATACTGATTTATCGGTTAATTGGCTTTTTAATTAATCGATTATTTTTGATTTTTAAAGATAATCAAGTAGTCGATTTTAAAGGAAATACGACAAAAAATAATCGATTATTTTCAATGATCGATAATTTATTTCGATAATTACCCACCCCTAGCGACCAAATGACTTTTAATAGGTTTAAATTTTAAAATGTTGTCTGGTTTCAGACATATGCATTTCTAGAGTTTTATGTGACACATCCTGTATATTAATTAATATTCCTAAAGAAAGAAGCTTTAATGTACCATTTTCTGAGGTTACAATACAAAACAGCATTTTCTCATTTTGACTAATTTTTAATATTATGTAATAGTCGTAGAAAAAATATAATATTTAACTCACAAGGTTTGATTTGCAGTATTTGCCTGCGTACATGCCTTTTTATAATACTCGTAGACAATGAGTACCATTTCTTGCTCTATTAACAATATTCTATTTCAATATTTTACTGTAATCTTTTGTAGAAAAGTCCATAGTAAATACACGCTAACGAAATATTCTATAAAAGGTCTTCTCTTTACATAAAATGTCATGGAATCTGTTTGATATTAAAAAATCACGTTAATTTTATTTCATAATATAAAATTCCATTAAACATCTTTTAAAATAAATCTAATAGTTCATTATGATGCTAATAAACAAAGTCCGGTCCCTGTCACAGAGTTCGAATCGCCGCCCAGTTTCCCCACTCCGTTAGCCTTTCTTTAGAAATTGGCACCATTTGCGCAGGTTAAACACCAGTGTATGTTATATCTCTGGTCTATTTTATCTAAGGATGAAATTTAGAAACAATTGTTCTATGTGAATTAATAGAATGTGGGGTGTAGTTCAAAGCCCATTTTTACAGAAGTTCAAAGGTAGCCTATCATTTTCTAAACCACCAGGTAAATATTCGTGATTTATTCAAGAATATGTCTGATTTCTTCAGGTTCCAGATATTATACCCCGAAGTGTTATTTAAGTTCCCAGTTAAGGTTTTTTTTTTTAATTTTCTAACAGGTGGCGCAAAAATCACACCCATCATAGATATAGAAGATTTTGTTTTAGTGTGTTTTAGTATGTATTTGTTTGACATCTGCAAAGTAGAGATAGAGACGTGATAAATTAGTAATGAATGTGTATACAGCCCAAGACCACATGGATATTGACAACTTTTATTACCAACACAATTATTCGATTGCTGCAACTTAGCAAAGATTTCGTCAAAAATATGGTCTTGAGAAAAGAGGTAATATTGACCTAGTGAGAGAAGATGTGGGATATAGAAAATCCAAAATTAAGCCCAAGAATGCGATCAACGCAAATAGTCATTTTCCGTCGGTCTTTTAAACGACTTTTGCTGCTGGAGTTGCACCTGTATCCGTAGAAGGTGCAGGTAATGCAACCCCTAGAAACTACAGACTTGGAAAGGCGTCTGGAATATTGTAACGCTATTGTCTATCGGAAAAATCAAATTGAAAATTTTTCGAGCAGAATCATTATGAGTGATTAAACACGAAGCAGACTTCTGTCCCAGTTGTCCCGTAAATAAGCAAAACAATCGCATAGGGACAGTGAAAATTTGCGAATTATTTACAAAACTCCGCTAGATGTGTCAAAAGTAACAGTATGGTGTGCTATCACAGCAAGCAGTGTGACTGGTTCGCACTGTAACTGTGAATGGAGGCGGCACTGGACGATACTGAAAGAATTTTTAGCATCACAAATGCAATAATTGATCAAGAAAACATGTGGTTTCAACAAGATGGTGCTAAAGCACATACATCCTAACGTTAGAGCCATTTTAAATGAAATGTTTTCTGGGTGAATTATTTTGAAGTACGGCAATTTTCCATGGCTCCGATTTGACTGTGCCAGAATTCTTTCTGTGGGGTTATTTGAAGAATCATGTGTACGTGAATCGATCACAAACTCTGGAAGTCCTCACAGGTCGACATGTTAACGAGAATCATGCATTGCCGTTGACGGTGGCCATTTGATTGACATCGTCTTCGGTACCTGATAGAATATAATTTCGATGCCAATAAATGATTCCAATGTATTAAATTAAGTTTTGTAATTGGTGTCATATTCAAATTACAAATCTTTGCATGACTTTTGCGCCACCTTGTACATAGAGAATCGTCAGATATTCCTAAGGCCGCAGTGTCCCAAAAAAGTCCTATTACGGTTAATTCTGAGTTTTTTCCTGATAAGGCTTAGCAGTTGATTTTGTCTTGGTTGGACCCTTTATGAATATTTTGTCCAGAAAGTTCTAACCAGAGCCCATGTTGTTCTTTACTTATCTGTTCTTTTAGTACCTTTTACACATGTTGATGAGAACTATTACATGTGGGTTCTAGTCCAGTTAGAGTTTACTTAGATCTGCTTTCTCGTTTCCCAATACTCTTATGTTCCGACACCAATTCAAAAGTGACGTTATTATGTTCTATCATAGCCTGGAGAGACTGTTGAAATTTCAATATTAATTTGGATTGTACTTCTATCCTTTGTAGTGATTTAAATACTTCCTATCTTAATACAGACTCTCTCATCTCTAAGAGAGCTATTTGGTATGGTCTGATCGCAGGCATTTTTTTGCAGTTACTCCTACCTTGAAGATTGTTGCCAGCGACACCAGTTTTTAACTAATACCTGGTCTTCCCTGAGTTCGCATGGTAAATACCAGCTTGCGCCTTTGTATATATCTGTATACATACTAATTCGTTTTGTATTTTCCTATATTCTCGACTTTCGCCACTTTTCGGTAGAATTATTAACATCGGAATTTTTCTATCATCATTATATGGTGTCCATTTTTTGACATTTACATCCAATTACATTTGTGAACAGCTTGTATGCTGCCGAAATATTTCCTTTTTCACCAAAAGGTGCAGTGAAGGAATACCCAGCAGTACCTTCATTGCAGCAGTGTTTGTAATATTTCTAAAAGCCCCTGTTATTAACTTGGCCAATAATGAATTATTAGTAAAGATAAAGTAGAATTTTTACCTAAAAAAAAATAAAATTTTGTACTATTTGTATATTGCAGTAGCTTCATTGCAGCAGTGTTTGTAATATTTCTAAAAGTCCCTGTTATTAGCTAGGCCAATAATGAATTATTAGTAAAGATAAAGTAGAAATTTTACATAAAAAAATAAAATTTTGAACTCTTTGTATATTGTTCAGCCAAATTTTCAGACATACCCACATACTATATTGTTTAATGAAATAGTTTCGTTTTTAATAAAAATTTTAATTTTAGGTTTGCTAGGAATAAGGACAGACTCTTTGGTACAGTATACTTCTTCTTTTTCTTTGCCAGTCTAGCAGCGTATAGTAGTACATTGTTTTTGCTTTCAATTGTAAGTGAACACAATTTTTAATTTTTTATAATAACTAAACATACTTATTAGAGTAAAATTAATAAATAAGTCTAGTTATTTGACCCCACTTTGCCTTTAGCTAAAGTCCCCACTCTATACACTCAAGAATAGGGGAATTGCTTAATTGTTTACAATATTATTACTGAGTATGAAGACTCCATACTACTGAGTTAATCTTTAGATGTTAGCATTTCTAAAATATGTTAACATGTAGCAACACTGTTTTAGAATATACTGTAATAGTTTATTTAACATTATCAGCGTGTCCTAAAATAGTAGGCCAATTCGTTAACCATAGATTCCTTAGGTCAGTGTAAGAAATATCTATTATTATTTTTTTTTTAATATACAGGGTGACAAAGTTAATTTAAAAAAACAACGTTTTTCATTATGTTCGTCGTTTTATTAAGTAGATGGCTTAAAATTGGGACACCGGGGTTTTTGGGATGACAAATCATAATTGAGCCTAAATATCACCTACCTGATAAAGGGCGTTAGTTACAAGGGGTGAACCAGAGAGAAGACATTAACAGAGTGACAATTCTAATACAAATTTCTGGAAGCATGTTCCATGCGCGTTGACTGTAGCGACGCGCTTGGCAACGAGCGCGAACTAGATATTTACCGGTAATGCAGATTTTCTTTAATTTAAATTTAGGAGGCAGCATTGAAAAACTAAGCAATACAAATTTGTAACTTTGTACACAAACTCGATATTTTTTGCAAAATTGCAAAAAATATCGATTTAGGTACAATGTTACAAACTCATTTACTACAAATTTATATTTTGTAAAGGTAATGTCATTAAACAGAAGGTATTAAGTAAATGTACATAAAGAACACATTTTTTATTGCAGCAGTGACACAAAAAATCTAAAAAATGATCATTAAAATCACTCACAAAATACTGAAATAAAAAGAAAAATTCTATGGTTTCACAAAATAGTAAAAAAATCACTTAAGTCACTCACAGTAATTTAAAAAACCATTGCTTTTACTTTATTTGTCAAGAATATTTTGTCGCATAATTTTAAATAAACTGTTGGATATTTTAGTACCATTTAATATTCATAAATATAAGGAAGTATTTCAAGCTTTAAAAAAGAAAACATTCAGAAAACGCCAAAAGAGAATATATGAATATGAGACTGCTATTTAAAACTATGATAACTTTAATATTATAATATTCATCTCTTTACGTTGTACCTAAAAAGTAACTCCAATTTTTAGTCGCCAGCACATAAAATTGCCGTAGTATCCTGACCTGCAGTGGATTCTCATCTTTCAATACAGCATATTATGTTGAGACACCTATCTTCATCCACAAACTGCCATTCTTATGTAATGTCTTTATCTATTCAACACGTAACGTGTTAAGTTCGCACATATAAGAATCCATGTTCTGATCTATTCATTCTGAATTCCTTTTATCATAGCATCCTCTCTTGTCTTGGGTTTGGACATGATTAAACTGAAATAAATACAGAAATTGGTTAGGCCACGTTGCATGGACTCATATATAGATAATAAGGATTTACACATAGTGTGAACTTCTAACTATAACAAAAAACTACTTTATTAAAAATTTGTAGTATAAATATATTTATTTCCTACCTTAATATATTCAATTCATGTAGTAAACACGATTAAATAAATTTCCAGAATTTTATTTAGTTATAGGTTATGTTAATTGTTGAAATTATGGAACAAGGTACAAACAAATATAAATAATCGATAAATATTAATTTAAGTATATTCATTTAAAAATAGGAAGAAAAAGCAAAGTAATAATAAGTTTAGTGTCTTAATTGAAAAATACATTTTTGAAATCAATTATAATTATGTTATCTGTACGGAAAGGAACAACGAAACGGTGTTGTTATGGAGTATGTAAAAGTGACACACAGTATAAATCATTCAAAGGCAATACATATTTTTTTATAAATTTTCCAAAGCCTTGGCTACAATATCGTAAAAAATTATTTGTCAGGCAAAATCCACATTAAAACATGTTCAAATTGTGCATTAAGTGTGAAAAAATGTCGAAGTGACAACGGTTTTCGATGGATTGAAGATGTTACTAAAGATACTTATATTTGTTTACTACATTTTCATGGACAAAGTGGCCCAACAGAAGAAAATTCTTATCTGTTATTACACAATATTTTTTTAATAATAAATAAAACTCAGTAATATGATTAACAATGTTGATCCTCAAAATATTAAATAATTTATTTTATTAATTATACTCGTGATTGACTTTCATGTTAATTAAAGTGTTTTTGCAAGTCTAATAGTTGGTTGGCGTAACTAGTTAGAATAGAGTTATAATTATTATTTGTTTTCATTAATTTTGTCACAGTTAAGAAGTATTAAGACACCTAACCTCTCAATCAGTCCACTTTTTTCCTTTGTAACAAACGTCTAAGACACTTCAACCACGTTTTCAACTGCTCACAACTATGAGTTTCCACAGAGTTATAAAAAAGTTAATCACCATCAAATATTTTTTCTTATAATTAATTTTTCTGTAGAGATAATATTGCTTCTCCAGCCATTGTCGATCAAAACAGTACGAAACTTTTGAATTACCGCTATTTCAACATAGCGGCTGCGCTTCCGCTCATCACATGATGAAAAGGTCTATTGTCAGTCGTTTATGGTTCAATGTTGAACCACCATGCGCGATGCGCAACGAGTGCCAAAAATCGGTCCAAAACGCGTAGACAAGTTTTGTATATGATTGAAACTACAGTGACTCTAACAAAAATGTCTCGAGAGATAAAATAGTGTTAGAAATTATTAAAATTTTACTCAAAAATTGCACGATGGATCAAATATTGTTCAAAAATAGCTTGAAAGGTAAAAAGCTGTTAAAAATTGCTCGAGTTATTAAATAGTGTTCAAAATTGTACAAAAAATGTTGTACAAACATTTCTCGAGGGATAGAAGTTCTTAAAAATTGCTCGAGAGATAAAACACTGTTAGAAATTGGTTTAAAATTGTTTAAAAACCGTTCGAAAGATAAAATATCAAAAGGTGTTAAATCTTTTTCAAAAATTGCTCGAGAGATAAAATACTGTTAGAAATTTATCAAGAGATAAAATTTTGTTTAAAATTGTTGTGTTCGTATTCTTTATAAACCTTTTTTTGCTCTTTAATGACCATACTTCATAGAAAAATCTGGTAATTTTATAGAATCTAGTACATTTTTATGAAATCTGGTACATTTTTTAAATAAATCTGGTACATTACAAAAATATATTCTGGCAACACTGGTTCCATACCATAGCGGGCAGGCGTTATATCCACATACCTAAATAGGTATACGGCGTAAAACCCTCTGCGCATCTTTACTGAGTGTTTAATAAAAGAAGATAGAAATGACCGCCATTTTTATATAAACAAACTGAAACTTATGCAACCAATTTATCTTTCCATCTGTCAAAAGTGTCAAATTTTAATGTGTTTGTGAATTTGGTTAAATTTTTTTGTGTTATTTTAGAATATTTTGATTGTGGATATTATTTTCTAAGTGTATAAACGTTTTATTTATTTTAACATTTGTGAATAGACTTTAATCCCAGTATAAGTTCTCTATACTGGGCTTTATTCAAGATGTCTTGTAAGATCTTGCAAGAACATAAGAAGACTGTTGCCAATAGATTCAAATGTTACATTCCACAAGTAAGTAATAAGATTTAGCAAAAATAAAGGATATGAAAGAAGTGTCTTTATATTATTTTAGGGTTCCAAAACAAGCAGATCGTTCCTTATTTTGGTTATCTGCCATATAGAGATTGGACAAAATTTCTTTTAAGTTAGTAGTACAATTCACTGCAGAATCAATAAGGACGACCCGTTCACTAAAAATTTGTAGCTGTTAGAAATTATACAAGAAGAAAGTAAATTGTTTAAAATAATACAAATATGCAACCATCAATTTAATTTTAAAGTATCCTGGAAATTTTAATATTTTTAACTTCCTCTACTGTACTTTTGTCATTTAAAATTAGTATTTAGGTATTTAATCTATTATTTGTCGGCCTATTATTTATCAGCCTAACATATATTTTTAAACATTAAAATATTTTTTTTGTTGTAGAATAAAAATTTAATTCAGATATAATATTGTATTATTTCTTTTAAAAAATCTGTACAAAATGATGTATTTAAAAGTGAAAAGACCTAGACATCTGCAACCAAGTTTTCATATTGCTGTATTTCTGGTCACCTATGTACTAGTAATCTTGTATAAAAATGGCCGCCCCTATGTTAAACAGGTCGGACGTCTCTCTTGCTCCGTATACCTATTAAAAGTATGTGGTTATATCAATGAGTACGTGGTATAGAGTGGGGTGTGCCATCTGTTCGGAGGAGATGTAAAACCGTCATTCCCGAATCCATGGATCTCTACCTCTGGTTGGAACACCAGGGGGGCTATTTTCAAACTCGAGAGAATTCATTTCCATCAAGAGAAATGTCATACGTCAACGTAAAACCGTATTTTTAGGGCTCTTAGGGCCAGTGTGAACTCTCTCTCGGTTTATTTAGAGATAATTAAAATTCTCCTAAGAATTTTAATCCTCGATGTCTTTAAATACAGCGTTTCCACATTGACGTATGACATTTCTGATGAGAATCTTGAGAGAAAGGAGTGCTCACATACTTTGAAAATAGGTCCCCAGGGGATTTGGCTAAATTTCTGATAATTGGGGTAGCGTGCTCACTAGCTTCGCTGTTGTAATTAGAAATAATCTGACGTTAAATAAAAAAAAATACTCATTTGCATATGGCATTCCTTTGAATTAGAATGTAGCGCTATATTTTTCGATTTTAGTTTTTTGCTCTAAACTTTCTACTCTTGTTGCTTCTACTCTGCTCCTACATCATGGAAAACTAATAAAAAATTATTTTAACTGAAATGAGTTCAAGTGGTTCAATAGTACATAATAATTAAAAACATTCAACCTTTTTAAATATTTTTTTTTAATTTTTATCTGAATTAAATATGTTTAAATATTTCTAATCAAGAAGTTCAACATAATTTTTTTTATTAGGTTCTTCTTTTCTGGTGATTTTTAGTTTCTAACCATCAGAGCTGGGTAATTACATGTACTTTAAAAATAATTACAATTACAAAGTACTTTTTCAAAAAAGGAATTAATTAAAAGTACAAAGTACATGTTGTAAAAATATAAATTAAATTTATTTATGAAAAAAAGAATTAGCAATTACTTTTATAAATACTTTTCTAATTACTTTGCCGATAAAACAACAAATTATGATAAAATTAAGGAACCATGAACCAACCGGACCGTTACAAATAAAATTTTTAAATAGGTAATTCAAAGTGTCAAACTAACAGCCGTTTGCAACGACTTTCTTGAGGATTCCTTAAAGTTAAAGATATCTTAAGGGCGGGTTGTATAAATCTTACTTAAAGTTAAACTCGGTTTGAGGAGATACATGACAAATTTTGTATGGCATAGGTACAGTATAAACACCATTTAGCACTTAGGGCTTGTTTCCCCAAACATTAGACTGCACATAGAGCATCGGAAATTGACATGTATCACCTAAAACTGCTTAATTGTAAGTAAGCTTTATACAGCCCTAAGTGTATTGTTTTCTGTACCATTTAAGGTCTTCTTAACTTAAGGGGAAAGACAAAATCGATAAGAAGTATAAAAAAGTGGAATAGGTAAGTAAATAATAAAATGTGAACTTTTAAAAGTTTATTGATTTTCAACAAAAATACAAAAGTTCGTGTACCTACGCCTAGGTACTTTTATATTTTACTTAATCTGAATTTTTGTTTTGTTTTAATTAAATATTATGAGGTTATAAATAAAAGAAATAGGATAGGAAGGAATAAGTTAGCCATTTTGATCAATTATGAATAATTTTGACAGAAAAAATTTCAAAATTCTAAAATCTCTATTTTTTTAACAAATCAAGTCTGATAGATCAATGAAATTAGTTATTTAGGGAGAATCTAAAATTGTAATAAAATAGAGGGTGTGCCAAAAAACTTTGATACGCCACATTTTTTTTGGGATATACTAAGTATACAGTGTCCCCCTAAGTTGGAATCACATGGAAAACTTTTTTTATTATTAATTTTAGGAAAAAAGTTATTCTTCATAAAAAGTTCTGCATAATCCAAAACCTAATATACAGATATCAGATATCAAATTTTTCAAGCCGTATACGAGGTTTGTCAAAAAATATGAATTTTGCTCAAGAGTAAAGTACGTTTATTTTTAACAAAATCGAAAATTTTCATTAAGAAAATTGCTAAATTCTTCACAAACATCAAGAAAAGAGAGAGAATGTTTCAAAAGCTAACGTAATTTATAAAGTTTTCAGATATTTATAATCAATGTGTAGAAAATCTGTTTTTTCAGATAGATCGGTGTAATTGCATATTTGAATGTAATTTTCAATTCTAATTCGCTATAATCGTCAGGGGCGTGGTAAATTATCCTGTATAATGTGTTATTGTTATTGACAAATTATATCGAAACTGAAATAGTAGTTTAAGCAACAAGAGTGGATATGGAGTTGTACAGTATATTTTTTCTAGGACCCACTAACGAAAATATAATATTTTAGGTCATTAAGACAAAATAACTAATTTTAAAATAATTTATGTTTTTTTACTAATTCATAAAATAAAATAAACAAAAGAAAATTAGTCCCTTGTCCAGATTTGAACCCGGGCTATTCGCATGGAACGCAGATGCTCTGTCCTCAGCTCCACCGTCACTTTTATGATTTTGGTTTCAATACTCGTAATTAAACTAGTTTCATATAGTTTAATTAATTTTTTTTTCCAATTGTGGCCCAAATAAAAATAAAAATATTTATCGATTCTAAACAAAAATAACTCATTTAGTGTATATTTAATCTCAATAACTAAAAAATACTGACAATTAGTTTGACAGAATAATTGTCACTTATTTAAAATTTTAAAAATAATAGTAGTTTGGTATCCAAAATATGAACTGTGATTGGTGGATTTCATTTTTTTGCAGTGTTCTCGCTACTTAGAATAAATATGAAATATATTCGTTCAGTTAAACGCAATAGCTTACTTTTTCTTTCTTAATCTGTGCGTAGATAAGCTAATATCCCTGTAGGTGTAGAAAAATATGTTTTTTGTACGCCCACATTTCAATGTAGAAAACTAGAATAATAACTAGAAATATCTACGCAATGTAAATAAGTAGTTTTTAATACTTACCCCATACAAACTGCTTATGTTTATAATAATATAAATACAAAATACGTCTTAGAAATAAGGATATCTGCATCTACTTGCCCCTTACTGTTATTATTTTAGGTTGAACAATTTCACTGCTTCACGGCACAACGCTTTCCTCAAATACATTCAAACATGATATGGAGTCCGAGCTCTAGTGACCGGTTCCAACAAGGAATTTTTTGTTTTTATATCACATGCATCTCATAAACACGCATTTAAAAGTAATTGTAATTAAAAAATGTAATTGTACTTATAAATGTAATTGTAATTGGAAAAGTAATTGTAATTGGAAAATTAATTGTGCTTATGATAAGTAATTGTATTTAGACAATTTAAATAATATAAATTAAAATAATTACAACGTACAATTCCTTCACATATTTTGCTACAATTACAATTCCAAAAGTACTTAAATACAATTACAAATTACATGAATAAAAAAGTAATTGTAATTATTAATTACTTTTTAACTACGAATTACCCTGCTAACCATTTAAGTTTTGAAATTGTCAGTCCGTAGTTATTACACGGTATTTGGTCGTGAATAGTATGTTTACACTGTATATTTGTATATTACAAAATATGATCGTAAACTTTTAATTATTAACATATTTTATAGACTGAGCCATGGACCTTTAGATTTTTTCATATGTGCGAATATGTTTGTGCTATATTTGGTATGCTATTTACTCCTTGTTGGTTTGGAACGACAGTTACCAAAAAGGTAAAGATGCACTATATATAATCTATGTTAGAAAACTCCGATTTGCTACTAGACTACTTTCTAAGATTTTTTGCCTTGTGTTGATATACCTATTAATCTTTGAAAATTCTTAATAAAAATAATTATTTTTAAGCTATTTATTCATAGAATTGGACACACTATATCTATAAAAATATTTATTTTTAATCCAAGAGAAAATTGGAAAAAGACAGTAATGATTTGAATTTTTTTAATAGAGCGAGAAAATTCCAATGGCAGCTTATTCAGCTGGTTGGGTGGATGCTGGTAAGAATTTCAAAAATGATTTAATCATTTTCATGAATATGGTTCAAGCCCCAATACAGTTTAGAGCGTGGAATCTTATTCCACTGTCTTTGGAATCATATATGGCGGTAAGTCAGTACCAAATGAAAAATAAAATGTAGATATACAATATTTGACATTCTATATTATAATATTAATATTCACAGTTTAATAGGCCCCCCTCAACAACCCATTTGTTTCTCCTCATAGAGCTTGATTTTTGCTAAAATATCATTTTTACTTTCCTATCTGTATACAGATATAAGGAAAGTATAGGAATCATGATTTTTTTCGACCTCGAGTTTTCGACGGATTTTTACGTTATGAGGTCCCCTGAATCCGTTTTGACTATTTTCGCGATGATGTCTGTGTGTGTGTGTGTGTGTGTGTGTGTGTGTGTGTGTGTGTGTGTGTGTGTGTGTGTGTGTGTGTGTGTGTGTGTGTGTGTGTGTGTGTGTGTGTGTGTGTGTGTGTGTGTGTGTGTGTGTGTGTGTGTCTGTGTGTGTGTGTGTGTCTGTATAACGCATAACTCATGAACCGATACACAGAAAAACACCAAATTTCAAACTTAAGCTTTGTTCCAACGTCTAATGAGCTGATTAGATTTTGGGCAGAGTCGGAACATCTGGGGGGGTACTTTATAGGTGGTCATTTTTATATTTTATGGAATATATCTGTTATTTACGTTTGGGGAAGAAAATTCTTTAAATGAAAGTTACTTCTTATTTTATTATCTATAATTTTTGTTATATACAAAATTTTCCTAAAATGGTCCGTATTCGCGAAATTTGACAAAATGTAAAAAAATATTTTTTTTTATAAAAATTGTTCAAACAAAAGTTGTTTGTAATATAATTCTCTATAATTTTTATCCTATAGATAATTTCTCTAAAATGGACCGTATTCGAGATATTTGAGAAAATGTGTAAATTTCGAAATTTGAAGAAAACTCAAAAATGGATAAAGAAAAAAACATTAAATTTTAAACTTAAGTTTTATTTCGGCCTGACGTGAAATGATTAGATTTTGGACAAAGTCGGAACATCTGGGGGGGTACTTTATGGGAGGCCGTTTTTATATTTTATGGAATATATCTGTTATTTATGTTTGAAGAAAAAAATTGTTCAAATAAAAGTTACTTCTAATATTATTATCTATAATTTTTGCTTTATGCAAAAATTTCCTGAAATGGTCCGTATTCGAAAAATTTGACAAAATGTGCAAAATTCTGATTTTTATGAAAATTGTTGAAATAAAAGTTGTTTGCGATATCGATCTCTATAATATTTGTTTATACATGATTTTTTTAAAATGGACCGTAATGGAAAAATTGTAGGAAAAGTGCTAAATTTAAATTTTTCAGTATTTTCATTTTCAATGAATATCTATAGAAAAATGTTTTGCGGTAGATGTATGTGGACAATGTATATATTTAGTTTATCCGCTGCAATAGATTGTACAAAATAACCGGAAAAAGCCTGTAATATCTAGATAGGAAAGTCATGTGTTGGACACATCAGATTTTTCATTTTTGAGTTAAGATTTTTTTTATATTTCAACACCCATTTTTTTTCAAATATTTTCAGACTCAATACGCTTCATCTCGTTGTAGAGCTTGATTATGATTTATGATTTTTTTAAATTTCAACCTCTTCCACCACCATTTTTATTCATAGAGTTCGTCCCCTTATAGAGCTTGATTTTTCCTGAAAATTTCAAGTTGATACCGTTTTTCCTATTAACCCTCTCCCATTTTTAATCAGATTTTTTCAAAATCAATAGGCTTCGTCCCCTTATAGATTTTGATTTTTCTTGAAAATTTCAAGTTGATATCTTTTTTTGTTTTTGACTTATTGTGCGGACAAAAAACATGACATCGAACAGACAGTCGGACGGACATTTTTAAAAATTTGATGATAAGGATTTTGTTACACAAAATTTTAAATTTGGATCAATATTAAAAATGTTGGTCTTTCGAAAGAAAATCTTTAATGCTCTTCACAGACTACTACGTGAAGAGTATAATAAAAAGACATATATTATGTGGATGATATGACTGTATACCACACACCTCTATTCGGGATTCAAACTAAGTGATACGCCCTCTGGAGGAAATTTGTAGAAGGTGCCTATAAGTAGGATATTGTTCAGTGTTGCCAGAAGTAGCGAAATTTCGCTACGTCGTCGCATTTTAGCCCTTGAAGTAGTGGATAAGACTCCTTCCTCCATGGATAAGACCTCTTATGTAACAATTTATATCTAGTAATATGTAATCATACTCTATATTTATTTAAGGATTTTTTATAAAAAAGATTTATTATATTAATTTTGTTTTAAAATCAGTTCATCATTTGGCAACATTGGCGTTGGTGTTCATTGTTTATATTTTAATTTCTATCAATTATAGTTTTTTCTTACTCTTTAGCTTTAAATTTGTTTATTTCTTATAGTATGTATAGTCTTTATATTAAAAATAGAATCTGCGAAAAAGCCCCCAGCAAATTGCAATCTATATGGTGTTAATGTCAAAATCAAAACTAAAGTATTCATTACTTTGCAAGCGTAAGTCGTAAAATTTTGTTTCTTACGATAAATGGATATCTACAAATTCACAATATTGAACTTTTGCAAAACTCTGTTTAGAAACTGCAATCTGATTTGTGATGGTTTTATTACCATTTACATACATACAAAGTACTACACAATTCACTTCATAACATAAGAATAAAGATAGTAAGATTTTAAAATAAGTTCATCAATACCTGAAATGTCCTTTAAATCAGTATGTGTTTAAACCACATAATAAAACATGTCCTGGATTTAGTAAATACATATTTCTAGATGTTCTTGTAACAACCAATAGGTGAATATTTCCAACAAATTAAGTCATACACATGAAAAATATTATATTTATGACGAAAGCACGAAAACTAAACTTAAATTAACACTAAATGAAACTCAATGACACTATTATAATGAGAATATTATCTAAAAACAGTTAAAAAATCATAAATACAAAATCCTGCCCAAAACAAACACATGTAAATAAACAAACATTCTACTGAAAGGTGACAAATGACAGGCGCGCGAAAATTAATTTGAATCGCGAATACTCGCTGCGCCGAAGAGCTGCAGTGATCACGTGCACTTCATATACACATCAGCCTAAAATGAGTATCCGATTGCCGTCTAAAGATCGTCAACAATCGACAAGGAGCAAACGACAAGGCGAGTGTTTTAGTTTATCAGTTCAAAGCGGACCGTTTTCTATGCCACCGTTTTCTATGCCACCCTTGACCGAAAAATATGCACGGTTCATCTCCCACAATAATCTACAAGAACCTGGTTCTGGCCAATAATCTAGCCAAAGGAGCTTTCTAAGGCCCAGCCCTTAACACATATTGACCACGCAGTTTTATTGCTGCATCTCTTCGGCGCGTCAACTATAGGTGTAGGTAAACAGTGTAGGTGTATGAACTGAACAAACTTAGTGAAATGTGTTTGGAAGTAGCAAGCTAGCTTTAAACAAAAAAAAATATTTTCGCGATATTAGATGACCCTACTGTGTTCTAGCGCGTCAATTAATTGTCACAACTCTTGCTTACTAACTTTAGTCGCGTCAAATTAGCATGAAAAAAGTGAAAATGGACAACTTTTTGCGGAGAGGTTCGATTGAGATGCGGTTTTCTGCAAAATGTTCAGGAAACCGTCTTTAACAAAAGGTATATCTAACCTCTGTACACTCGCAAATTCTTGTTTATTTAACAAATGAGGCATTTTTGTTAGAGTGTTGATGAATATGTGGCAAATGTCACAAACGGTTCAACGAAAATGTCTGGAAAATATTCTCTCGGTGGGTTTCGAGGTCCCTTTTTATCACTTTGGTGTCAGATTTATTATTTATTGTTAAATTGTTGTAACACTAGAGAACCGGAATTTTTTCCAGCATTTCTGGCTCGTTAAGGCGAACCAAGATTTTTGCAAACATAATTGTGTATTGTTCGATTGTTGCCACCTCGCTAATTAACAAATTAATAATTCGACTCCCGGAATAGTTAGAAAACCAGAATTTTTTGCAATAACTCTGGCATAGGCACAAGGTTGTTGCACGTAAATATTTATGTTTTAATTGTTGAAACTTGGCTAATTAACCAATTAATATCTCAACTCCCGAAATCACTAGAGAACCAGAATTTTTTCCAGCATTTCTGGCTTGTTAAGGCGAACCATCAGCACAAGATTTTTGCAAACATAATTGTTTATTGTTCGCCATTCCCGAAGACAACTGATCTCTTGGGTATTTCAACTGGTGTAATTGAAGATGAATCAATTCAACCGCATGAAGTATTTGAAAAAGGTGTTGAAACTATGGAAAGTTTACATGGAAAAATGATTACAACTAAATTGACCAAAAACAACAAAATTCTACCCATTTCCACGGCTTATAGTAAAATTAATATTAAGGATAGGGTACTTCCCATTGATCCTATGCTCATTTTCCAGAGAATAAGCGTTCTCAAACATTCAGAAAAGGACTTAAAACAATGCTTTGCCTATGATCTGGTACCCATGCCCATGTCTATTTATGATGAGGTTGATTTGCAGAAAAATACCAAATCTACTCTGTATTCTTTATTTAATAAGCATGATGATTTAAACTTTAGTGATTGTATCCTTGTTATTGATGGTGGAATGCTTCTTCACAAAGTTTCTTGGACAACTAAAAAGTCCTTTTCATACATAATGTATACGTATGTCACGTTCTTGCGAGCAAATTATGGCAAGAACGTTATCATCGTATTTGATAGTTATGAGAAAAGAATTACGAAATCTCCTGAAAGAAATCGAAGAGATATGTTAAGACAGGATGTGTTGAATATGAGTTTCAGAAAGATATGTTGTTGGAGATCTCGCAAGAGTTATTTCTGGCAAGTCCAAAGAATAAATCAAGATTGAATAAAATGTTAATCGAAGTTTTAGAAGAGAACAATTTTAAATGCAAGCAATCCAATGACGATGCGGATACATTAATAGTATCTACAGCTATAACAGAAGAAAACATCTCTGCATCTGATTCAAAAGTAGCTACTGTTGCGGAGGAAATTGATGTTTTGGTGATATTAGTGGCATTAACACCCGATGACAAAGATATATTTTACAAAAAGCCACCAAAAGGTAAAACACCCGGTGCAACTTATTCATCTAAAAGTTTAGATCATCCACCAGTAGTTAAAGAAAATATTTTATTCTTACACGCTATATCAGGATGTGACATAACATCTGCGTTTTATGGAAAAGACAAATATTAAAAAATCTACATAACCTTATGATAAATGGAATAAAATTTATTTTGGCTTTGTACGGTGCAAAAAATTATAACAGGATTTTTGCAAAAATGTAGCACCTAAGAAGACAAAAGTACTATTGTGCTCTTTACCACCTACTGAAGATGCAGCTCTACAACACATCAAGAAAGTTTATCTCCAAATCCAATCATGGATGGGTAACATTTTGGACCACAGTGACTGGGGCTGGGAATTTGATACTAGGAAGAATTTTTACAAACCGATTTCGATGACTAACGAAGCTGCCCCATCTTCTCTACTAGAGGTCATATTTTGTTCATGCACAACCACAGGCTGTGCAACAGTGTGTGGGTGCAGAAAAGCGGGATTGTATTGCACTGCAGCGTGTGTGAATTGTGCCGTGAATGATTTCACAAACTGCAAACCTGTGCTTATAGAAGATGCAGTCGATGGCGATCCGACTGCTGTTGATTTTGTATATCCACCGACCATTGTCAGTATCCCCCCAACAATGTTTCTGTAGTTGACTATTTCGAAACAGATCTAATTGACGACAGTTTTTGTGAAGACGTGCACTAAGAATCTTTGTTCCAATGTAAAGCTTATCAGTAGGTACGTGCATGGTATTTTTCCAATAAAAAGCAATCATTAATAATATATCATTGTATTATTCAAGTAACCTTCCATTACCTACATAGTTTCAATACAAGAACAAATTAAAGCCCTTGGCTACAAGTTCTGAATAGCCCCCATTGCATTACAGAAAAAACACCAGTGTTCTGACCTTTGTTGGATGACAGTTATTAATTTGTTAATCAACCAGGTAGCAACAATTCAAAAATAAACAATCATATTTGCAACAACCTTCTGGCAATGGTTCTTCTCATGATCCCAGAGTTATTGCAAAAAAATCTAGGTTTCTAACGATTCCGGGAGTCGAGTTATTAATGTGTTAATTAGCGAGGTCGCAACAATCGAACAATAAACAATTATGTTTGCAAAAATCTTGTGCTGATGGTTCGCTTTAACAAGCCAGAAATGCTGGAAAAATTCTGGTTTTCTAGTGATTTCCGGCTTTGAGATATTAATTTGTTAATTAGCCAGGTTGCAACAATTGAAACATAAATATTTACGTGCAACAACCTTGTGCCAATGGTTCACCTCAAGAAACCAGAGATATCGTAAAAAATTCCGGTTCTCTACCGATTTCGGGAGTCGAGTTATTAATTTGCTAATTAGCGAGGTGGCAACAATTGAACAAGCCAGAAATACTGAAAAAATTCCGGTTCTCTAGTGATTTCGGGGGTTGAGTTTTTCATTTGTTAATTAGCCAAGTTACAACAATTTAGCAATAAATAATAAATCTGACACAAAAGTGATAAAGAGGGACCTCGAAACCCCCCGAAAGAGCATTTTCCAGACATTTTCGTTGAACCGTGTGTGACATTTGCCACATATTCATCAACACTCTAACAAAAATACCTCATTTATTAAATAAACAATTAAGAATTTGCGAGCGTACAGAGGTTAGATATACCTTTTGTTATAGACGGTTTCCTGAACATTTTGCAGAAAATCGCATCTCAATCGAATCTCTCCGCAAAAAGTTCCAGGTAAAATGCTAATTTGACGCGACTACTTACAAACATAATGTTAATGCCATATTAATATTTTAGGTTATAAAAACATCATTTTCATACTACACGGTTTTGAACAATCTAGTAGAAAATTGAAAAAAAAGTTTGACGCCAAATGTTTTCGATACAAGCACTTGCACAAAGTTCACCACGTGAACAAACAAGAATGGAGTAGATACCTATAACACTACACACAATTCAAGAAAACTTCAAGAACAAAAAATATTTAACCGATATTTTTACACTATAATAAATATTACACAGATTTAATGTTATTTTTATTTCCTGTAATTTTTGGGCATCCCAATAGCATAAACTAGATCATATAGTTCTTGAGGGTCACCAACAAAATTAATCATTAACTATTGTTAATTTGAGCGACACTAAATTGACCGTTCCTACCTTATCGACCCTGAGGCCCTCCACAGCCAAACTCATAGCAGGAAGAAGAGACGATTTGATTTTGAACGAAATACCCTGTGAATTTTTACATTGCTAGACCAGTTTTTTTAGAAATATTTCATTTTCACTAGGGTTTGCAAATTAATTGAAAGATGTATGTCAAAATATTTAGCTCTGTCCATATAAAAATATGTGTTCCCTTTATTTCTTAAACCTGCTAATATCAAAATATTTGGGCGCTTTACCTCAAGCCGGCCAATATAAAAATATTTTGTCCTTTTATCCCTTACGCCAGCCAATACTACTTGGCCAAATTATACCTTAAGCATATCCATGTAATAAGATTTGGTCCCTTTATCCCTTAAGCCAACCCATATCAAAACATTTGGTCTCTTTACTACTTAACCTGTTCCTACAAGTAAAAATATTTGAGCCTTTAAGCTGGTCCATGTAAAAATATTTAAACCCTTTTCACCTCTTAAGCCTGCTTGTCTAAATATATTTGCCCCAGAGCTAGACAGACAGCAATTGCCTCGAACGTGTTCAAAAAAGTGTTTCAAGCACGACAGTGCTTGCAACTGCTTTTTAAATACAATGCTCGGTAATTGGTGATTGAAGCCCTTTATAAAAAGTGTTAGGTAATTGGTAATTGAATTTTGCATTTCAAACCATTTAAAGTGCTTGCAAGCACTTAGAAGATCTTGTAAGCACTTAAAAGGGATTGCAAGCACAATTAGATTTAATTGTTTGCAAGTACTTAAAGTGCCTAAATACTATAGAGGAAAAAGTTTTTAGTAAGAATGCACACTAATCTTTTATGATCACGCAATATGATATGCTGGCTGGTCATCCACAAAATCGTAGTACTTAGTTTATCATCAAAGTTAAAGAGGTAAAGTTACTTTTGTTTTATGTTTCATGTATATATGTTTATATGTATTACATAAGTATTTATTTGTTAAAATTTTTTTAATCAAATGTTTTATAATACAGTGCTGTTTTATTTAGTTCACAGAGCAACGGCTACTTCAAAAACTATTTTTGCCGATTACAAGCAGGAAGAGTTAGAGTTAGATGGCGATGAAATTAAATAATATTTAATATTTAAAAACTTCCAACTGATACAAATGTTGGCGAGCGGACACGAAAGCAATAAACACAGACCATACCCTTTAAAGATGGGCCACTCAACAGTGAAAAATTTTACTCATCTTTCAGCGCCATCCGTAGCGGTTGCAAATAGTTGAGTTAAAAAAAAAGAAGATAACTAATAATGGAAAATTTGTTCAAGGTTTATTATATAGATGGCGGTAGGGGTCAATGAGCGCGGGTTTTTCAAACTCGGCCTTTCTAATAAACCACTACTAAGTTTTCAAAATTATAATTTTTCGTTCTTTTTTACTTAAAATGATTCAAACATTTTATTCTTCACTCAACATACTTAGATGGATATAATCCATTGGGTTATGTTCTGTGATAGATAAAATTTGAAATATTTTAAGTTAAAAAGAAAACGAAAAATTATAATTTTGGATTTGTGGAACAAAAAATACATCTTATTATGAAGTAAAACACGATTATAACCATATATTTTTTAATATTAGAATTAAAATTGCACGAATTCTTATTACAGTACACAATAATAAAGAAATATGAATATAAAACTATTGTGAAGTTCACCCATGGTTGTATCCACTAGAAGTTGTAACGAAAGTTCCTGGGGAAAGTTGGCTCTGGCTGCTGTTGGGTGTACTTGTCACTTCCTATTGCAGTGTTTGCTGATTCGTTTTCATGTAAAAAATGAAGAAGAGTATCAGTTAAAAAATATAAAGTTCAATTTTATTATTTTTGTTTTGAGTCAATTCAGCTGAGCTAGTAATTTATTAGCTAGTGAGAATGAATCGGCATTTATTAAAAATATATCGTAGATTTTTCAATAAAATGAAGGAATTTGAATTTAGTAAGAATGCAACTTCTATTAATTGGAATCAATAAATTGTGAAGATACCTAGGTGAGGTAGGTCACAGTATATGGAGCAAAAAATAATAAGAGTCGCACAATATAAAATATACAATTATTGGTATGTTTGAAAAGTACCTCATTTTGAATTCGGAAAAAAAATTGTATATAGGTATCTACTATAAAGTATCCATTACATATTGTATAATTCTAAAAAAATACTAATAACACTATTTATTTCAATCTTCTTAATATTCACATATTTTATCTAGTTACTGAAATTGTATAGAAAATGATAAAAGTTAGGTTAAGATTTTTAATTTTTCCTAGAAAACATTAGGTTAGCCGCATTATTTTGGAAATTTATTTCACAAATTGGGTACTTTTAGGTAATAATATATGCTCTTAAAATTTGGCAAAGTATTTAAGAATAAAATACAAAAAGAAGTTTTTACTTGTAAAGAAATAAAATTGTAAATGTATTCCTTACCTGCGACTAACTTTATCCTGACAATCTGGATCAGCACAAGGACGAATTCGCACCATAATTATATATGTTTAAAGCTTTAAAAATTATCTTCGAAAAACTAACCTAATAAAACAAATCAACCATTACTATTATTGCCATTAATAGCTTTTTTTTAGCTGTTGAAAGTTTTAAATAACAACTTGCGTACACTTGCGTTACTCTGAACCTGCTCTGAATACACTCTGAATCTGCTCGACGAATGCAACAACAAATTTTGTGTAAAGTAGCGCCATCTATGGGTGGTGCACAGTACTACAACACGAGTAAGCATTTCCCTATTAAAGATCCCCTAGCCTGGCAATAAAGTCGCCACTATCTGCTTTGACTAAACATCCACAATTAAGGACAGGCACAATCTTTATTAAAGTCAGTTCTAGAATGTAAGTGATCTGCGCATGTTCAGATGTCAAAATAAGAGCGGTACTAACAAGGGCCTGACCTTAAGTGAACTTGCAATAACTCTCTTCTTAAAGCACTAAAGTCAACCCGAAAGTCAAAACCGCACACGTCGATCGCAGTTTTAAATCTAAAGTTATAGTGCCGGTGCACAAACAGATCTTTCAGACACAACGGCTTTGTTCGTACGGAGAAAAGTCGTACGAATTTTTTCCGTGTCTCGGTAGAATTCACACTAGACGGTTTTCTTTTCCGTGAAACGTCTTGTATTTTATGTCAGTTGGTTATCGACATGAATCGAAAGCGCACCATTGCCATGTGGCTTTTGTACCGTCATATACAAAAGTATCGGAAACGACATAATCGTATATACTAGGGACTTCCAATTAATCAGAAAAGGGATGAAGTGGGCCCATTCATTTGCTTAATGAAAGATTTACGTGCAGACGAAAATACAATTTTTAATTACCTTCGGATGTCCATTGTATCCTCTGATGAGCTTCATAACCGACTAAAAAACAATATTCAGCGGCATAATACATAATTCTGAAATGAGAAACAGCATTTAACATATGGAAATAATAGTTGTGACACTGAAGTAAAAGAGTTCTATGTTTGTTTCGTTACTAGTTTATTAACTACAAAATCAAAAAACAAGAAAAGTTCAATATGTCAAACTACTAGTTTATAATATTGTCATTCATGGTCATATTGACGCGTAAACCAAAATACAAAATATTTATGATAAATAAACCAAACGGCACGCAATAACGGACGGCAGACGGCTAAAAATCGTCATATATGAAAGCATGCATAAAGTTACATAGGCCACTGATAGACGACCACAATATATCCCCTATAGTAGTGCATCTCACTTGTTAAAGAGTTGGCACTAAGTTTGCAGCGCAAGAATGCGTCTGTGTCTGGCCGCTCAACTAACTCGATATGGCGGTAAATTCAAATATAATTTAAAGGCGAAATTTAAATTTCACGCCAAAATTGTAAATTTTCAGCCGCGGAATGGCGGGAATTTTTAAATATATTCATTCGGCAATAATTCGATTAAACGAGCTGTAAATCCAGGCGCCATTTTTATTTTGATAGCTAAAAATAATACTAATTCTTTTATTATTAGCTATTACAATAAGAGCAGCATTTGGATTAACAACACATTTAAAAGAACATGTAATATACTTTTCAATTTTACCTAAATCACTTATTTTTTACCTATAGAGGTTAGATCTGAAAAAAAATTGGTTCTGGTAAAAAAAAAACAAAAAATTGTATAAAGTATTTTATTTGAAAAATTATAAAACTTATTTAATATATTTTAAAGATGAAGATAACTCTAGCCATATCCATTTTACTGAAAAAAAAAAAACTATTAAATGAAATCATTTAGTTATTAAGAGATGTTTGTGATAATACAGTGACAGCTATCGAATGTTGTACAATACGTTTTGCTAATGTCCAAGTAAAAACTACAAAGAGTTAGCATTAGTGGGAGAAGGAATAGAATACTATGAACGTAGCCAGCCGGCTACGTGGGGATGCATCACACCATGTGCCTGTTCATATTACACAGCACACAAGGCAACATTAATATTATTCGTTTCCTGATCGAACTAATGCGCTAACTCTTTAGTTTTCTTTTTGATTCTAGCCAAGCGTATTGGAAAGTGTTCATTAGCCGATACTGTATATAAATGCTAAAATCAATAAGTGAAATAAAAAAAATTAGTTTAAATGGACATCTACTTCGAAAAAAGTAAATTATTATACTTGAATTTTAAAGGCTGTTGCCACTGGAAAACTATTATCTAGGGCTTGGATGACAGCCATAGGACTCCCTCCTTGAATCGTGTCCATAGGAAAGCATAAGATCATAGTTAAATTATAATATTAAGAGGGTAGGTATTAACTGAAAAAATATGAAAAATTATTACAAACTTACCTCAAAATTGGCACCTACAT